TCAGTGTGGTGTTGTGGTACCGTGCAGAGACTGTAAACGGCACTACCACAACCCGGGGATAATTCCCGAACGTGATGCTGGGGTCGCCAGACGAGATAGAATCTGCAGTCCGGTTGGGATGGGAATTCCTTGTGGACGGTAGGCGAAGTAAAATGAAGCTGCATCCGGACATCTGCTCATTGACTCATGGGAAAATTGACCACCAGTCCTCCGACACGTTAAGCGGCCTGAAGCGGCTAACGCTCTTATTCCAAATCCCCTGACAGCCTCAAAATCATACTCAAGTTGGATACTAATTTTTTGCGTCCAGGGCCCGTCTCCAGCTCTGCATTGCAGCCATAGTGGGCCGGTCCGTGGAGGAAATACGTTGAAGCGACGAGTGGATCCAGTTCAAGCGTGCGCTGAAGGTGTTCCGCGGGAGTTTAACCAACGATCTGCTGGTCTCTGTTGGCAATGAAACGCGTTTACGGCAGTGGCTGGTAGCGGCGACGCCCGTTCGAAGAGCGTAACAGGTTCTGAACTGTTCCGGACTTCGTAAATGGCATTTGAGTACTTCCTTAACTCCTCTCGAGTACCTGGACCTCATCTTGGGCCGAAAATCGGTCCTGATCGGAGGAGATTGCGGTTCCGATCCAGTTCGCAGCAAGCCTTGCTTCGGCCTCTCTGGGCGGCTGAGTCGAGATTTCGCGATTCAAGCTTGGACCTGCTCAAACTTTCGCTTTTTTTGGGCAGCGGGTGGAGGTCACGTCGAGGCGTAAAACACTGCATTTGTTTAAAACTCGATGGGAAATTGTCAATTTCTGCTTAGGCTCTGCTCTCGCTTTCTAACTTTGGGCTTCTGCACTCGAACCTCAATTTGGAACGACGCGAAATAGAACATTTTCGTAACCCCCCGAGTTTTATTTAAGCGCCTTATTTACAGAATCCCGAGGTTACAAACGATCATTCGCAAATAGATTTCGTGCTTCTATGCATCCCACTTCTCTTTGCAATTGCTATTGCCCAACCCGGTACCCTTTTCCTGTAAGCACATGCTCAACTGTTACATTCCTTTTGTTCGTCTCAATTCCTCCGTGTCTGATACCCTTTTCTGAGGACGCTTGCATTCCAGCATTCAAGCTCACTAAAAAAGCTTGTGCCACAATCTCGTGGGCTCTCCACACCCATTTTGCATTCTCTGTCAATCCCGCAATTGCAGACTATCAGCACTTGTTAATAATTATTAGACCAGACATACTGTGAAATATTCCAAGTCTCTTTGGCGCTATCAAGAAGACTTTCATTTTGCATGAAAGTGCACGATTGCGATTTTCTTAGCTCCATCTCACCTGAAGACGCCGGCTGACTCTCGTCGTACTGCGGCCGTTTTGCTTTAATACGACCTCCAGTTTGACCCAGTCCGCGAGACATGCTCCCTCATTTCGAGCGAAAAGTGGCTGAGTTTTTGCTTGTCATTTGACCAACTGTTCACAGCTGGGATTCTTTCTTGCAAAACTCCCATGTTAACACTAAGTATGAACCTTCTCGCCTGGCTTGTGATGGGAAAGAGTGCTCTTTTGCATGAAACTGTAAAAGTAACAGCCTTATCATGTAAACTTAGTCGTTCAGCCAGCTCAAGCAATACAGATTTGTCCGCGACTGAGATTAACGTCTCCTGCTGGACCAGCTGCTCGCAAGCTCTCAGAATGGCAGAAGACTGGACTCATCCGAGCTAGAACTGTTGAAAAAGGGTATTTTGAAGGCAAAATGAATGGCAAATGTCTTCTAAAGTGCTGAAATTGGCATCTGAAAAGCATTTTTGTCTTTTCGCTATCACAACATTTTTGATGCATTGCATAGAAGCGCAAGTTTAGTCTTATTTTTGCAACTCGGTCATGGCACTGGGGAGGCCTCAGAGAACGCACACAGTCCTCAGTTGGAATAAGTATGAAAGTTGCCAGAATTGCACCCTTAATTTGGTACATCCCAGACATTATGCCTGCCTCTTAGTCAGCATCGTCAGCCTTAAGTATTGGCTGCTTTGTTCCGCTTTAATCAGCACATCTTCTGACCATCCTGCCATCGTAAT